TCATTAAATTTAAATTTTTTAATAAATATATTAAGTCTGGATTTTATTTTTAAATTTAAAAATTATTTAATATTTTATTTTATTAATTTAAATTGATAGATAATTATAAAAATATTTTATACTTTAGTTAAGTGAATGTGACATTTTGGAACGAGAAGATTAAAATTATTTTTTTACTTTTTCATCTTAAAAAATAAATTATTAAATTATAACATTAGCGGTTAAATTAAAAGTACTAATTCATTGTGAAAGATCACCTAATCTCATTCAAAATTAATTATCTTTGTTGGCTATTAAAATTAATGGTTAATAAATCGTAAAGTTTTTTGGCTAATATTTATCAACCACAAAATCAAGTAATTTATAATTGATTTATCGACAATTTACTCTAACCATCTTAAAATCATCACTAAAAGTTAATTTTGCAAAGCAGTGACTTTACACCATTTATTACTTGAGTATGTAAAAAAAAAAAAAATCTAGCCGCTATTTCTTTTCCTTACAAACAAGTATACAATAATAAAAAAAAATTGTGTACAAATTAATTATCATCCTTTTAATTATTGGAGTTTAATTTATATGCCAAATTGGTGTAAATGTTTTCTTTTACATAAACATTCAATTAAGAATTTACTTTGTTGTCACATTATATACACAAAAAGGATGACATAGTAAAATGATCAAATTTCACCGAATAAAAATGATGTTTATATACATTTTTCTTACATTGACAATACTTCTAATTAAATTCTTATTATTTAAAGTAAAAAATATAAAGAATTATACTTGAATAGAAGGACAAGTTACTTTCCATTTATGAATTTAAGATTTATAATTAAATTTTAAAATTTTATTAAAAAATTAAAATCAATTTACCTACATATCAATGATGAAGTAAAATATAACGAATATAATATGTACTTTATTTGTCACATAAAATTTTTATAACAAGAATTGATAGTAAAAACTATTTTTGAAATCTTATAAAAAAGTTAGGAATTAAACAACAAAAAATTTATAGAGATTAAAAGTTATAAAAAAAATGCCTAACATTATTTAGATAAATACAAAAAATACATGCCTTACATTAGGCATGGCAACGGGGCGGGGCGGGGGGGGGGTTT